CCAAGGCCTCACCACCCTTTCCAGCAACAAATTCCTCCTCAGCCCCATCCTGACCCTCCACTGGTGCAACTTGAGGCCATTTCCTCTGATCCTGTTACTTGTTTTTTGAGAAAAGAGCTCGACCCCCCCCCGGCTCCCCCCTCCTGTCAGGGACTTGCAGAGCCACAAGGTCCCCCCTGAGCCTCCTTTGCTCCAGGATGAGCCCCCCCAGCTCCCTCAGCCCCTCCTGCTGCTCCAGACCCTTCCCAGCTCCCTTCCCTTCCCTGCACACGCTCCAGCCCCTCCAGGTCTCTCCTGTCTGAGGGGCCCAGAACTGCCCCCAGGATTCCAGGGTCACTTTTACCAGCACAAGTGACCAAGGGCACCACAACCAGAGCAGCTCTACAGCAGCAAAGCCTGAACTAAGAAACCCTGTTTACTTATATCACCATTACCTACCCCAAAATATCCACAAAAACACCCCCATCCACCACAAAAACCTGTTTGGAAGGATTTAGTCTTGGGGGAGGGGGGGAAGGCCCACAAAAATGCAGCAATTAAAAGTACACACAACTTTCTGACAGAAAAGCAGCAGCTCTGACTGTTAAATTTCAGTGAAACTAAAAGGAATTTGAAGGCACTATTTTTAAATCCTGCATCTGATGATCCTGCGTGTGTGTGTAGGAATGGAAAAGTTCAAGCAGGAGTGTCACGGGGACAAAGGAACTTGTACAAAATTGACATTTACTGCTCATTAAGAACCTTGTCTGCTCTCCTCAAAGCTCCACCAGGCGTGTTTGCGATGAGCCAACAGCAGTGATCCCACGGCTCCTCTGGCACACGGATCAGGCAGGGGAGAAATCACGACCTCAGGTTTCAGCTCGATACCTGAGTCACGTGCTCACATCAACAAACAAACCCTTGGATCAATAGGAGAAAGAATTATGAAGGTTTGGGGGGATTTTTAACAAATGTATCCCACTGAATTATCTGTTGATACTTAAGATTTCCAGCGCTGGGCTTACATTTTGATAGGTCCTCATAACCATCTTTATTGGCTGGAAAATCAATAAACCCCCTCAAAAATAAGAAGCTCACATGTTCATATTTATATCTATATCTGTATTTATATGTATGTTTGTATATATTTCTATATTTCTATATTTTAATATATTTTTATGTATTTCTATTTCCCACCTTGGGTAAGTAAATGTCCCCTGAGGGACCACAAATGCTGCTGAGGAGACACAGAAAAAGCCACCTTTGATTTTGGACAAGCAAAAGGACTTGTGGAAACCCCCAGGGGAGAAGGTTCCATCCCATAACTGGATGGTCTTTAAGGTCCCTTTTGACCCAAACCATTCCATGATTCTAAAATCTGCCCTATGGCCACTGGGGGTGACCCAGAGACCCTCCAGGAACACACAAAGACAGCGTAAGGAACCTCCAAAAACTCTTCCAGACAAGCAAGATCCACCTTCCCAGAGAAGTGGTGGAGTCCCCACCCCTGGGAGTGTCCCACAAACGTGTGGAGGTGGCACTGGAGGATATGGTTTAGTGCTGAATGTGGTGGTGCTGAGCTGATGGTTGAAGGTCTTTTCCAACCTTAGGGGTTCCATCTTGACAGCGAAAACACAAAGTTCAGGCTCCGTGTTAGAAACGGGAGGTTTGGGAAAGAAAACTGGGAATTCAGCACTGTGACCAAGATAAAACCTGGATGATGCTGAGCAGGAAACTGCTGGTGCCTCAAACAGGCTGAAAAACACAGTGCAAGGCAGGTGGTGACCTGACCATGAGGAACTGGTCTTGTCTCACTTTTTACACGGAGCTAGAGACAACTGGAAAGGCTACTTTTATTAAATAAAAGGGGGAAAAAATGACCATCCTGGTCACACCTGAGACTTGGTGGCCTGAAACCTCCTCAACCATCATTGAAGGAGAAGCAAGAACAAGCATTTCTAAAGGGCTGATAATCATCGAGCTCACCTGCAGCCCCAGACCTGGGCTGGCAGTGGGACACTCACAGATACCCTCTGCTCTCCAGGGACACCTGAGGAGCAACAGCAGCTGGTCACTGAGCCACAACATTCCTGCAGAGTGCTCAGGGAATGGACTGTGCTGCAGCAGAGAGGCTCTCCCACTTTATAGGAGAAGAGCAGAACAGAGCTGGGATGGGAAGAGACCTCCTGCCTCACCTACAGCATCCTGCAGGAACTCCCTTCCCACAATTTGCAAACTTAGGGAAGGAAAAAGACCGAGAAAACGACCGAGTTTCCCTTTGCCACCTGTGTTACACAGAATATTTCCTAGAAAGCCAGGCCAGAGTTTCACTCAAGCTCCTCTGCCCTCATGTTTGACTTCAGAAATTCAGGTGTGTTCATTTCTGTGGCAACACCATCCTTTATTTCTGAGGAATCTGCTCCTCCTCCAAGGATTCTGCTCCTGCTCTAAGGATTCTGCTCCTGCTCCAGGGACTCTGTTCCTGATCTAAGGATTCTGCTCCTACTCCAAGGATTCTGCTCCTGATCTAAGGATTCTGCTCCTGCTCCAAGGATTCTTCTCCTGCTCTAAGGATTCTTCTCCTGCTCCAAGGATTCTTCTCCTGTTCCAAGGATTCTGCTCCTGCTCTATGGACTCTGCTCCTGCTCCACGGATTCTTCTCCTTCTCCACGGATTCTTCTCCTGCTCCAAGAATTCTGCTCCTGCTCCAAGGATACTCCTCCTTCTCTAACATTTACATTCCTACAGCCAGTAACAACTTCTCCTTTCCACCTCCACAACACACAGCCAGACGATCCCAGGTCAGTGTCCCACCATCCCAGTGTGTCCCACCTTCCCAGCCCTTCTACGTGCTCTCCTCCTCCCTCCTGCTCTGGCCACTCAGCCGGGGACAGGACAGACATCCTGAGCCAGAGGGTTTGTCCCAGAAGGTTTGTCCCCAGCGAGGTTTGGGAGCTGCCCTGGTTGGGGCAGGTCCATGGGAGGCCGTGGCCCAGCTCCCCCCTCTCACCTGGAACGCTGTCTGGCTGTTGTAGTTCCGAATCTCCTTGCTGGCACCACGGAAGAGGAGCACCCGGGCACAGCTCTCCTGGCAAGGGGGAAAGGGAAGAGACCATCAGCACTTGAGAGTGGTGGCAACACCCCCAGCCAACCCCGGGGGTCACAGAGCTTGGGAAGCTCCCCTGGCAAGAGCGAGGAGGGATGATCACCTCCTGTGAACTGGGCATCCCCAGTCATGGAATCATGGAATTACAGGATGGTTTGGGTTGGAAAGACCTTAAAGACCATCCAGTTCCAACCTGCTGCCACAGGCAAGGACACCTTCCACTGGACAAGTCCATCCTTGGGGGCATTGGCACTGTGGCCACCACACATTCCCAGGTACTCCTGCTGCCTAAAGCTTTTTGTTGGTTTGGAATGCTCTGTGCTTCTCCAGGGTGTTAATTCAACGTGTTTATGAGCCCCTGAACCCTTCAATGCCCCTCTCCCTCCCACCCCCGTGGGCAGGGACGTGGGTCCAAGAGTCCACGACGTGCAGAATGAACCCACCGCGCCACAAACCATCCCCCACCTACCACTGGCAAACCATGACAGGCCTCAGGTTTTAAAGCGTGGACACCTCAGAAACTGGAAATTCCCTTTATAACAAAAGCTCACATAACACAATGGATAAAACTGTGCAGGAAGGAGCAAACCCTCCAGGAGAAATGCTCAGATCCTGCCCTGCCCCGCTCAGAGAGCAGCGGGGGCGTGAGATCAGAGAGGGCTCTTCCACCAGCCTCAAATTCCCTGAACTGAGCGAGTGACCACACAGAAAATGGGACAGAGATGGGGCCCTGTGCTGCCTGCACAGTCTCCTCCAGAATTCTGAGATTAGCAGGAAGAATTAAGGGTTATTTGTGAGCAGGACAGGACCCCAGGCCATGTGCCTGGGAGCCACAGGATGTGCCCACCTCAAACTGAATGTGAGCCCCACGGCCAAATTAAAAGCCCCCACCCAGCAAACTTCTCCCTCCCCAGCCAGTTCCAGGGACCTGCTGTGAAGCAGGAAAAGGAACCGGAGGGAAAATTACAGAGCAGGGTTTGGAAGCAAAGCAGCAAAACATCTTGGGAACGGAACAGATTAAACCACGGCCACTTGACTCCTGAGAAATCCAAAATCAGGCTGGTGCTACAGACAGAAATAGCCTCTTGGACTGCACTCAGAGGAACCCTGCGGATCTGGGAGCAGCAGGAGCGCCGAGAGGGGCCCCAGCTCTGGTTGTGCCGTGGCTGTCTGAGCCAGGGTGGTGCCCCCCTGCCCCGTACCTGGTTGTAGAGGGCACAGATGTGCAGGGCGGTGTTTCCTGAGGCGTTCTGGGCAGTCATGTCGGCCCCGTAGAACAGGAGGTGCTCCAGGTGCTGGACGTGGCCGTAGCGACACGCCTGCCCCACAGCCAGGGAAAAAGGGAACAGAGGAGAGTCAGGGAGTGGCAGGAAGGTGATAAATAAACCCCAGAACATCCTCTGCTGGATCCAGCCACGCTCCAGAAGTGCAGTCAGGCTGGAGCTGTAACATGGACACGCTGCTGCTCCTCACAGCTACACACACCTGGGCACTTATGGGATAAATCACCTCTGGATCAACGGGAAAATCGGGATCAGCATCATGCTGGTCCCAGAGCCTCCTCCAGACTGGTGGCTCTCTCAGTGAGAGAAAGCCCTCTCTCAGGTGAGAGGAAGCCCTGAGCACACCCAGGCCAAGCAGAGGACAAGGCCCCACATCCCTGGTTAACTGGTGCATTTTCCTCTCCCTCTGGTCCATCCCAGGACCAGCAGCTCCCAAAGATCAGCCAAGGAGGACGGAGGCAGCAGGGACAGTTGTATCCATAAATTCACATCACAAACACTTCCTGTTTTTCATTCTCATTTGTAGCCGTGCCAGGACTCATCCCTCTCGGAGGGGGTGGACAGCAGAGGGTTTTGGGAGGCCACAGGCCCAAAGACAACCTGCCCTCCAACGTGGGCTCATCCCCCTTCACCCAAAGGGAGAAGCACAAAGCTGGCTCAGGTCTCCTAACCCCCAGTCCGTGCCTTCCCTCTGCCAAATCCACTTGTCGATGTGTAAAACAGGGACAGACAGAGCTGGGTTTGGAACCAGGATGCCTCAGGTGCTGGACCAGGATCTGAAAGCATTATCCTTTGAGCCAGGCATCATCTGAGGAGGATCCCAGACGCTCCTGACCAAGGCCAGAAGAAAACAGCCGGAACATTGACCTGGGATGGATCCAGAGCTGGCACAGCACATCCAGCCCCCACCACCCCCACCAAGCAGTGCCTCCCCAGCCCGTGGCACCCCAGGGGATGGAAGGAGCCCGTCCATCAGCCCCAGAACAGCGCTGCCTTGGGTGGATCCCATCCCATCTCCCACTGGATCCCAGCCCACCTGGTGGATCTCCTGCCAGCCGTTCTCGTCCACGCAGCCGAGCCGGGCGTAGTCGTGCAGCAGGAGCTCGCAGCAGTACGGGTCCCCCCCCACCATGGCACTGTGGTACAAGGGGGTCAGCCCCCGGCTGTCCTTGTAGTCCGGGGACGCTCCCAGGTCCAGCAGCGTCTGGAAAGAGAAGAGCCCACCTCGCTCTGCAGCTCCAAGAGGAAAACCCACCAGGAAGAGCACCCAGGGATGCTCCAGCCACCCCCCCATGCCCACGAGGCTCATGGCACGGAGATGGTGTGGTAGTTTGGTCTGGGCCTTCCTTGGTGACCAGTCTGTAAATAAGGAAGTGCCCAGATTTACCCGGTATTCCCTACGATTTTTACATAAGCCGGGGTATAAGAAGAAAGGAGGAGAGGCCTTTGCCCTCTTTTTTCCTTCCGGCGGCTTTAGAGGTGCAGGTTTCCCCTGCACCTGTCGGGTTGGACAGTGAGGCCTGGTGAGGCCTAGCGAGGCCTAGCGAGGCCTGGTAAGGCCTTGTCGACCTTGGGAGGCGGAGGCTGCCGGCAGTCGCTCCAGCGGGACTCTCCGTTGTCCCAAGGAGAGCAGTAAGATATTCTTTGCTAATTCTTTTAGTTGCTAGATCTTGGGTTATTGATTGGGATGGAGAGTATGGCCAGTCTTCGCGAACGAAGATTTTGGGAGAGGTCTTTTACCTTTCCAGCCTGCGCAACGGATTTTTTTTAGGTGAGACACAGCCTGCGCTGAACTGAGCCCACCCTTTAATCCTAAGGTTCATCTGCGGGGGCCAAGCGAGCTTGGACAATGGCAGTGAGGTCCTCAGGACGTAGGTTTGTTTAGAGTGACCTTCTCATAGATGGATGGCCTCACAGGGCTAACGGGTTCCATCTGCCTGGGGAGTATCCCTGACCGGGAATCGAACCCAGGCCGCAGCGGGATATATACATTGCTTTAGCTCGCTGTCTCTCTCTCTCGTTTCGGTTCCCTTGGGTTTTTTTTATCCCTCTTCTCCCTTGGTTTGGGGGGGGACTTCTTGTGGTAAGGTTTGGAGACTCGGCAGGGAGCCAGCTTCAAACCATATCAGAGGGGCAGCCGGGGGTGGCTCTGGAGGGGTGTAGGGAGGGGAGGGCAGAGCCCGGGGAGAGCCCCCCCTGCTCACACTCACCAGCAGCGCGGCGTGGTTGCGGCAGCGCACGGCCTTGTGCAGGGCCGTCATCCCCTCCCGCGTCCGGAAATCCAGGTGGGCTCCCCCGTTCCGCAGGGCCTTGATCATCTCGGAGCTGAGCTCCAGCTGCGCCGCCGCCGTCAGGGGACACTCTGGGGACACGGAAAGAGACGTGGGTGAGGACCACGGGGCGCCCACCCCACCGATGGGGTCCGGCAGGACGTGCCCACCGAGCCCTGAGTGAGTGAGTGTGACCTCAAACCGAACGGGAGCCAGATCAGCAGCTTCCACCCAACGAGGTGCTCCCACCCACCCAGTCATGGGGAGCTGCTCTGTGTGAGGAACAGGAGGGAAAATTATCACAGAATCCCAGGATATGCTGAGTTGGAAGGGAACCACAAGGATCATAAAATCATAGAATCACAGAATCAGCTGGGTTGGAAGGGACCTCTGAGATCATCAAGTCCAACCCTTGATCCAACACCGCTGTGGTTGCCAGACCATGGCACTGATGCCACATCCAGTCTTATCTTAAAAACCTCCAGAGAATCCAGCACTTCCCTGGGAAGCCCATGCCAGTGTCTGATTATCCTCTCTGGAAAGAAATTCTCTCTAATATCCAACCTAAACCTCCCCTGGCACAGCTTAAGACCATGTCCTCTTGTCTTTCTGATAATGAGGTCCAACTCCTGGCCCTGCACAGGACACCCCAAGGGTCACACCCTGTGCCCCAGAGGATCATCCAAACCCTCCTGGAGCTCTGGTAGCCTTGGTGCTGTGCCCACTGCCCTGGGGAGCCTGGGCAGTGCCCAACCACCCTCTGGGGGAAGAACCTTTTCCTGAGATCCAACCTGACCCTGCCCTGACACAACTCCAGCCATTCCCTGGCTGCTGTCCCTGGTCCTCCCAGAGCAGAGCTCAGTCCCTGCCCCTCCTCTGCCCCTGCCCAGGCAGTTGGAACTGCAGTGAGGTCTCCCCTCAGTCTCCTCTTCTCCAGCTGAACACACCAAGTGCCCTCAGTGTCCTCACACAGCTTCAAATCAAGGTCCTTCCCCATCTTTGTTACAGAACAGGTTTGGAAGTAAAGCAGCAAAAATTTCTTGAGAAGGGAACAGATGAACCCAGGGACCCTTCTGTGGCCACCCAACCCTCACCCCAAAGAGGAAGAACACCTCTACATACAGCAAAAATAACTATTTGAATTACAAAAATGGCTTGGGATAGAAATTAAAAAAACCATACAAATATTCATTTTAGAGCACTGCTATTAACTAAATTTTCAAATGAGATGAGAAGGTTGGACAGGGTTCTGTGGCTTTGCTAAAACTCTCTGGGCTTTGTCTATAAGACACCAATATAAATAAAGAGGATTAGTGAAGATCGTGGTCAAGAGGGTTAGTGAAGATCATAGTCAAGAGGGTTTGCCAGTGAGAGGAATGACCAATAGATGTGAACATTATAGCTGGGTCTTCTACTTTATTTATTATAAATTATATTTATTTACTATAAAATAATAAATATTTATTATAAAATATTTATTATATTATAGAATCATGTTTATTTTAAAATAACACCTATTTTACCTTTATGGAAAGATAAAAGTGACAGAAAAGGCTTCAAACCATCCTGTAGTCTCTGTTATTAACACACCAAACTCAACTGACAAATCTATCCTGTTATCTTGGGCCCCAAGAAACTGAGAAAGGTCCAAACTGGGCGTTTCTGAGGAACTGCAGCCAGGAACTTGTTCCCTAAATCTACTGTAATCACTAATCCAGGACTTTAGTGATTCCAGCCTGTTAATTCTTGGAGAAGTGCGAAGCCAAACAAATGCTTAAAGTAATTAAGGAGTGAGAGCAGGGGATCCCCAGCAGAAAACAGAGACCAGCCAGGGAAGACACTGCTCAGGGGAAGGGACCCCTTCATGGATGTGGGAGGGAGATGTGAGATATCCCAGGAATACTGTGGGCACAGGTCCAGTGCTGGGACCTGGGGAGGCCCCCCTGGAATCCCGGGGGCAGTTCTGGGCCCCTCAGACAGGAGAGACCTGGAGGGGCTGGAGCGTGTGCAGGGAAGGGAAGGGAGCTGGGAAGGGGCTGGAGCAGCAGGAGGGGCTGAGGGAGCTGGGGGGGCTCATCCTGGAGCAAAGGAGGCTCAGGGGGGACCTTGTGGCTCTGCAAGTCCCTGACAGGAGGGGGGAGCTGGGGGGGGTCGGGCTCTGCTGCCAGGGACACCTTCCACTAGCCCAGGTTGCTCCAACCTGACCTTGGACACTTCCAGGGATCCAGGGGCAGCCACAGATGCTCTGGGAAATCCATTCCAGGGCCTCACCACCCTCACAGCCAGGAATTCCTTCCCAATCTCCCATCTAAACCTGTCCTCTGGCAGTGGGAAGCCATTCCCTGTGTCCTGTCCCTCCATCCCTTGTCCCCAGTCCCTCTCCAGCTCTCCTGGAGCCCCTTCAGGCCCTGCAAGGGGCTCTCAGCTCTCCCTGGAGCCTTCTCTTCTCCAGGGGAACCCCCCCAGCTCTCCCAGCCTGGCTCCAGAGCAGAGGGGCTCCAGCCCTGGCAGCAGCTCCACAGCCCTTTTCCTCCCCAGTTACTCATTCCTGCTGTTATTTGTCCCCACATCATTTTGGGGCCACGGTTCCTATTGCTGCTCCCAGTCCACTCTTTGTAATCCAATGGTTTTCTGCTCTCTTCTCCCTCTCCTGCTGTTCCCCAGGTGCCACCCTTGTTAAATATCCCTTGTTAAATATCCCTTGTTAAATATCCCAGGTTGCTTTTCTCTTTCCACAGCCTGAACCATCCCCCGGGTTTGGGTCTAATTTCAGACCAACAGTAAGTTCTCGTGTATCATTTTTTTTTACCCCCTTTAAATGTACCTACAGGAAGCAACTGTGAATTTTTTTTCCTTTTAATGTCTTTCAAAGGCAGTGGATCTTTCCTGGAATATCTGCCCAGCAACCCTGAAAGGTGAACGATGGCAAATGGGGCTGCAGCAGTTTCTGACGTGGCTCTTCCCTCCCTTTCCCACTCCAGCAGAAAAATGGGAAGGAGAATATATCCTTTTGCCTCAGCACAGCTTAAAACCACTCCCAAAAGCAGCTTAAATGAAGATACCCAGAGGCTGGAGAGGCTGGAATGCCACATCATCCTGTGGGCTCTGCTGTCACGGTGCCACCACAAAGCACAGGGCATTTTATGGTGCATCCAGGTCATTCCCAGCCCATTAACTGGATTAAACCCTGCAGAAGAACATTTCTCCAAGCAGGGGAGCCCAGTTTGCCTTGAGGAGCTCCCAGTTCAGCCCAGGACAAGGGCTGAATTCAGTGGGAAGAAGGTGGTTTCCAGGCTCCTGTCCCTGTCCGGGCGCTGGGGCACCCACTCTGCCACAGCTCCTCACCTTCCCATGTGGAAAAAACCCTGTTCCTGGCATTATCCCTCCTCTCCAAGAGCTTATCCCTCCTCTCCAAGAGCAGGTCACACCACCAGTGCCCACCACACCACGGGGGGGGTTTTGCCATGGGAAGCTTGGCCACAACTGTGGCAGCTGAAGGGGGACAAGGGATCCCTGAGGGGTAAATCCCGGGCACCTGTAGATCCACAGATGGGTTTGGATGGAACAACCACACCAAAGGGTTCTGTGCTCCAACAGGGAGGTTTCCCTGCAGATTTAAGAGCAAACCCCATGGAAAGGCAGCTCCCAGAGAGCCACTTCCAGTCAGGTTCTGTCCAGAGCTGGAGGCACAGAAAGCAGCTCCTGAACTGCCTCAGCCCTGACACAATCAAAGCCCAAGTCATAAATCACCCCAAACCCCCAAATAAAATCCTTCCCACCCTGGAAGAGGAAATTAAGTATTAAATTAAAGCTGTTCTTTCTCTCTGTGTCCATTCTCTGCTTCCACGAGGACTGGCAAGGAGATGGTGCCCTCCAATGTGCCCTCCCTGGCTTCACCCTCAGCAAGTCTCTCCATTCCCAAGTTTCCTGTGTCTGGCAAGTCCTGGTGTCCTTCCCAGTTTGGGCAATCCAACAGCCTCCTCCTTTCATTAACCTTGGGGATAGCAGGAGCTCTATTTGGAGACTCCTGAGCTGCAGAGTGAGACTTGGTTTAAGCCCCTTGAATATAAAACAAGACAAAATATTCCTCCATCCCTCCCCCTTGGCTGGGGGAACGTAAAAGACAGAGTAGGAAGGACACAGAAAATTACATTTTCACTTCACCATTCACTAAAATCAAACTCTCCTCCACATATGTTCATTTATTTTCTCCCAGAGCGAGATGGCACAAAAAGGGATCACGACTGACAGGCGTCAGTCAAAGTGTTTCATGGAAAACCTGCAGCGGGAAACAAATCAACTGAGAAAATCGTGGAATTGCAGAACAACCTCAGCTGGAAGGGACCCACAAGGATCATCAAAGTCCAGCTCCTGGCCCTGCACAGGACCAAGAATCCAACCATGTGCCTCATATCATTCACTCGGTGACAACACCGAGACCTTTTCCAGAAGGTAGAGATCCAAGTGTCCTTCCTAATCTTCCTTTTCCTCATGGGTTCGCACACAGAAATCCAACCTCAGGCTCCATCCAACCTGGCCTTGGACAATTCCACAGATCCAGGGGCAGCCACAGCTTCTCTGGGCAACCTGTGCCAGGGCCTCCCCACTCTTACAGACAGGAATTCCTTCCCAATATCCAATCTAACCCTAATCTCTGTCACTTTAAACCCATTCCCCCTTGGCCTGTCCCTCCATCCCTTGTCCCAAGTCCCTCTCCAGTTCTCCTGGAGCCCCTTTAGACACTGGAAGGGGCTCCATGGCTGCTGCCATTGTCCTGAAGTAAACACAAATCTCTGATCAGACCTGCAGGTTCCACAAGGCCTTGGATGAAGGAGTTCTTGGAGCAACAAGGGCTGGGCAATCCCAGAACCAGGAAGGGCAGAGATGGATCCTGGAGGATTCATCTGAGAGGCTTCACACTGGGGAAGGGACACACTGCTCATAAAACCTCCCCAAAACAAACAAAGCTCCCAAGCAAGGAACTGCTCAGAGGCTCCACTTCATCCGTCGTGGGATGGGTTAAGGTGGGGGCAGGACACAACCCAGGAGGAGGAACAGGAAGGGAAACCCCTCCAGCCCCTCCACCCAGCAGGAGCAACATGGGGGTGCCATCCCAGTGACACACAGTCACCCCTGTCCTCCCCAGAGCAGGGGAAGAGGTGTCCCTGAGGAATGATGGTGTAAGGCAGCAGCCTGTCTGCTCCCCACGTTCCTAAAATCCTCCTCCAAATGGAATAGTGACATGTAAGTCACAAAAAATGACAGGGAGGGTGGAGAAAACACCTTCAAAGGAAAGGCTGGAGGAGTTGGGCCCCTCTTTTATGAAGGAAAGGCAGGTTGAACCTTGCCTTGATTACCTTCACCCTGGTACTAACGGTGCTCTTCAATCGGGAAGATCAAGTGTAAGGACACCTGGAAGCACCAATTTAAATGGGAGAGGAGTTTTAAACAGCCAGGGTGATTAACCAAATAAGGAATGAAAGGCAGGGATCCTCTGTTCCCCGAATCAGGATGGATGACTTGCTGGAAAACACGTTGAAGCTTTGCTGGGGGAACACACACAGAGAGGGAGAGGAGCATCCTGAGGGATGCACGAGGGCAGGGCAGGGGGACAGCAGCTCCATCTGCTCCTGGATTCCAGGAAGCCAGGAATAGAGATCAGCAGCTCTGTGTCATTCTTGCATGTTCCCCAAACAGCTTGTAAAGCAAACAGGAATGAAGGGTTTCTCCACAAGGTTTGGCACTCCAGGAGTGAGGTGTCCAAGACTCCTCCTGCTCCAAGGGTCTGTTTTCACAGAATCATGGAAAGGTTTGGGTGGGAAGGGACCTTAAAGATCACTCAGTTCCACCTCTTGCCATGAGCAGGGACATTTTTTACCAGCCCAGGTTGCTCCAAGCCCTGTCCAACCTGGCCTTGGACACTTCCAGGGATCCAGGAGCAGCCACAGCTTCTCTGGGCAACCTGTGCCAGGGCCTGCCCACCCTCCCAGGGAAGAATTTCTTCTGTATATCTGAGCCAAATTTCCCCTCTTTCAGTTTGAAGCCATTTCCCTTTGTCCTGTCACTGCAGTTCCACCTGAACAGTCCCTCTCTCACTTCCTTGGAGCCCCTTCAGACGCTGGAAGGGGTTGTGAGGTCTCCACACAACCTTCTCCTCTCACAGCCTCCACTCTGCTTTTGCCCTCGGTTCTGAACCGGATCCAAACACCTCTTTGGGTCAAGTGTCTCTGCTTCTCCCCCTTCTACATTTAACAGTTCTCAAGAGCCTGTTTCTTCCTTCTGTGACAGAACACCCGGGTTCAAACCTCATCAGACCCAAACCTCTCACGGCATCTTTGCACGCAGGACTCAGCATCTCCAACGTGATTGATCCCCTCTGGAAAGCTGCATCAGCCTTAGAAGGGTGAGGAGCTTTCTTTCCAAAAAAGATCCCTCAAAATGCTTCCAAGGCCTTGGACAAAAAGGAAATCCCCCTGGAACGGGGCTGTTTGGACACTGCTACTGGCCGAGTTTCACCCGGGCAGTTGTTCATGACAACACTCTGGCAGGTTCAGGGGAGGCTTCACCAGCAAAGAAACAGCACAAACACTGGTTCTTGCCAGAGTTTGGCTGCACCTTTCACCTTCCCAGCTCAGGGAAGACCCTTCCCAGCTCAGGGAAGACCATTCCCAACAGGAATGGAGGCAGCCATGGACAAGAGAGATTAATGGCGTGAGTGACACCACACAGCACCTGATCTCCGGGCTGGAAAATGCTCTGGATCCCCTAAATTTCCCAGTACAGAGACACAGTGCTTCAGCAACAACCTGACAAACCCTCCAAGTGAACCAGAAACACAGAAAATCAATCATCTGACTGGAGAAGGGGTTGGAGACGTGCCCATGATCCTCACCCAAAAAAATACTACTAATAAATACTAATAAGCTGCACTTCTGTAAAACAGCAACAACAAAAGCAAAACTCCTCTCTCAGAACAAGACTAAGAGGTGTGGGGAAGTCCTCCCTGGCTGTCCCTTGGTTCCCCAAACATCTGGAGTCTGAGTCTTTCTTCTCACAGCCTGGAACCTGCAGAGAACCAGACCAGACCTTGCAGGGTGAGCTTTGCTCAGAGACAGGAAAAATAAAGAAATGAAGGGGAAAAAAAAAAAAAATCGAGGAAACCAGAGGCCAAGATTTTGGGGTTTTGATGCCCAAAATACTTCTTGAACCTTCTGACTGTTTAATGGACACATCCATAACTTGCCCAACTTTTCAGTCCAGAGGGAGCCTCACCTTCCCCAGAATCCCACTGAGGGATGTGTGGACACACAGCTCGTCCATGTCACGCTGTATTCCCAGACTCTGGATCTCTGACACACTAAACATCTTCTCCCAAGAGTCTTCTGCACCCTCAAGCTCCCAAATCCCATAAGAGGATGAGAGATGCAGCTCCCACCTCCCTGTTCCGAACCTTTCGACTGTGAAACCCCCTCAAAACCAACCGCTGCCCAAAATTCCCACCGTGTCCCCCAGGCACCTTCTCCCCCGGCCCCTGCTGTGCCCCCCTGCCCTCCCTGGAGCAGCCAGGCTCACCTCCAGTATCCGGATCATGGAAGTTGGGGTCCAGTCCCTTCTCCAGGAGCCTGCAGACCTTCTCCGCGTTCAACATCTGCACGTACTCCATGAACTTCTTCAAGTTCGCCTGGGGGACACACAGCACAGTGTCAACATCCCAAAACGAGCCAAGAGGCCACCACAAGAACATCCCCAAGCAGGGCATCCAAGGAAACCATCAGGATAACGGGGCAGCACCCACCAGGATGCAGGATCCATGAGGATGTGCCACAAATCCACATGGAAAACTGCCCTTCCACCCCTCTCAAGACTAGAATTACTGGATCAACCCATGGAAATGGTCAAGGGCTGCCAGTTCCCACATCTGTCTCAGAGAATCTTGTGCCCAGATTTGCCTTTAATTCCTCCTGGTTGAGGGTTGTTGTTCCCTTTTTTTTCCAGTTTTGGAAAGCTCTGCTTGATGAAAACATTACTTTATTAAATTTCTAGACTCTGGAAACCGTGGCTCTGCCAGGCAGGAGGCAACACTTGGACGGGCTACAGTGTGAAAACACCCATCTCACACACATTCCAGATTTCCAGACCTTTGATTGCAGCTTGGCTGGGTTTTTTTTAGTGGTTTTTTTTTTTTTTTTGAGCTTATTCTAATTCAACCCTGCAGCAACTGACTTTAGGAAAGGCCTCTGGAAAGTGTCTGACACAGCAGAAATGCTGAGGGAAGGCTTTGGGAAAAGGTCCAACCGACTGGTCAGGTTGCAGCCAACAGGTCCCAGCAACACAGGTTTAACACCCGGTGGAAAAAAAACTCAAATTCCAGCATTTTCTCCCTAATTTGATAGGGGAAAATGATCTCTTTCATGAAGCAAAATGAATTCCAAAACGCTTCGCTTCAATTTCCACTTTTAAGATTTCCAGTTGGAAAACAGAAAAAAAAATAATCCTGAAAATATCAAACAGGATGAGAAAGATGTTTAGTTCTTAGAACAGAATTGGGACCACAGGACGGTTTTGGTGGAAAAGGACCTTAAAGATCATCTCATTCCACCCCCTGCCATGGGCAGGGACACCTTCCACCAGCCCAGGTTGCTCCAAGCCTCGTCCAACCTGCCCTTCCTTGGACACTTCCAGGGATCCAGGGGCAGCCACAGCTGCTCTGGGCAACAAAGGCTTCCAAACCAAAGTCTCATCATGTATTATTTTGCAGAATATTTTGATTTTGTCAAAAATAAATTTTCAGGGGGGGGAACTTATTAATTCTAGAACAAATCCCGTAGATGAGCCTGCAAATCCCAAACCTTGGGAGCCACAAGTTCATCAGGTGCTACTTCTCTGACCCACGGTGAGAACTCAGGTTTCCATATCCCCCAGATGAAACTTTCCATGGATGGGGCAAATTAATGCTGGGCTGTGAACCTGCTTCAGCCCAAGCCCAGCCTGTGTGTGGTTAAACCTGCAGAACCAAACCTAAACCATTCAGCCCCTTTTCTCTGCAATCAGCCAGGCCAGGAACCAGATTTAAAAGGGTATCAACATTTTAGAGCAGCTCTGCTCCTCACAGCCCTTAAAGTGGGATGGAACTTACACAGACATGGCACCCAGACTGCTCCAGGGGTACAACAGGGTTGGGACACCTTCTCCAGGAGGTGCTCCAGGCAGTACAAGCAGTTCCCATGGCACCAACACTCTTATCACAAGCACAGTGGGAGGACAACTGGAGTCAGCAGCAACAAGGCACAAGCCCTGATTTTTTTTGGGGGGACAGACATCCCCCTCTCCCAACCCTTCCTTCTCCCCCAGGTTCCCTCTCGTCTCACAAGCAACTGAAAGCAAAACCCCCCTCTCCTGCTCCCTGCAGAAGGCTCACAGCTGTGCCAGCAAGAGCACAGACGGGACTTGACAACTCCAGGGACTTGACAGCTCCAGCACCGCCTCCGGGATGCCATCCCAAAATTCCTCTTCCCAAACTGCGCAGATTTAACCCCGTTCATAGAATCACAGAATCATAGAATCAGCTGGGTTGGAAGGGACCTCTGAGATCATCCAGCCCAACCCTTGATCCAACCCCGCTGTGGTTCCCAGCCCATGGCACTGATGCCACATCCAGTCTGTCCTTAAACACCTCCAGGGACGGAGAATCCACCCCCTCCCTGGGCAGCCCATTCCAATGGCTGAGCACCCTCTCTGGAAAGAAATTCTGTCTAATATCCAACCTAAACCTCCCCTGGCACAACTTGAGACCCCGAGCCCTCTTGTCTTGCTGAGAGTTGCCTGGGAAAAGAGACCAACCCCCCCTGGCTCCCCCCTCCTGTCAGGGAGTTGCAGAGAGTGAGGAGGTCTCCCCTGAGCCTCCTCCTCTCCAGGCTGAGCCCCCCCAGCTCCCTCAGCCTCTCCTCACAGCACTTGTGCTCCAGTCCCTTCCCCAACCTCGTTGCTCTCCTCTGGACCTGCTCCAGCCCCTCCAGGGCCTTCCTGAGCTCAGGGCCCAGAGCTGGACACAGCACTCCAGGGGTGGCCTCACCAGCGCCCAGCCCAGGGCAAGAATCACTTCCTTGGACCTGTTGGCCACACTGTTCCTGAGCCAGGCCAGGATCCATTGGCCTTCTTGGCCACCTGGCCACACTCTGGCTCATGTTCAGCTCCCTGTCCATCCCAACTCCCAGCTCCCTTCCTGCCTGGCTGCTCTCCAGCCCCTCTGGCCCAGCCTGGAGCTGCAGGGGCTTCTTGTGGCCAAAGGGCAGGACCCGGCCCTTGGCCTTGGGGAACCTCAGCCCCTTGCAATCAGCCCATGGATCCAGCCTGGCCAGGTCCCTCTGCAGAGCCCTCCTGCCTTCCGCTCCCCCCTGCCCGGGAGCCTCTTCCCACCCCAGGAGCCGTTTCACCAGCACAGAGACCCAGCCCCACGGATGGATGATGTTCCCTGTGTGGCTCCACTGAACCCCCACGGCCAAGAATGGCTCTGCCCATCCCAGTGGGATCCATGGAAGTGGTCGTGGGACACGTGGAAGAGTGAGCAGAGCAGGGGACACCCCACCATGTGTCCCAGCAGCCCCACACAGGCAGGCACTGCACCTCGTGTGCTGCTACCAGACACATCCCAGGCATCAGCCCAAAGTTCTCCTCCTGGGATTCTTCCAGCAGCTTCCCTGCAGGACCCCAGGGATGTGCCCACCCTTCCCAACACTGTACCCATCAGTATTTCCAGCTTTCTGGGTGCTCAGGAATTCAAACCATGGTTTGCTTTGACCACAGGATGCACCAGGTCAGCTTCTAACAGCACGGTCAAAAAGGAAGGTGAGGAGAAGTTGCATGAGGAAAAAAAAGGATAATGGAGGGAGCCACCCTCAGCCCTGGGATCTGCACGGAATCACAGGATCATTTCGGCTGGAAAAGGCCTCTGTGATCAAAGGCACTGTCCTGCTGCTGGTCCCCACAGCCCCACACAGGCATCGACGGGGCTGCCATGGAAACTCCCTCGGGGGGAAATCAATGCCCACCACAAAGAAGGTTCATCCATCCAAGGTCTCGTTCCAAATCCAAAGCCACGCTTCCAAAATCGTTTCTGAAGTCCAGAGACTCAACCAGTTTGTTTTTCCATAGAAAAATATTCTCTTTCTATCCCTCTGCTGCTGCTGCTGCCCATTTGCCCTCCAGCACGATCCAGATGTGCAGCTCGTGCTCCAGATGTGCCCAGGTCGCTGCAATTCTCAAACTTCACACTCCTGGGAGAGGGTTGGACACAGCACAGCAATTCCTGATTTCTGGAACCAGATGAAGGTGTTTAGAGGACACCTTCCACCAGCCCAGGTTGCTCCAAGCCCCGGCCAACCTGCCCTTGGACACTTCCAGGGATCCAGGGGCAGCCACAGATGCTCTGGGCAACCTGGGCCAGGGTCTCCCCACCCTCACAGCCAGGAATTCCTTCCCAGTGTCCCATCTAACCCTGCCCTCTGTCCATGGGAAGCCATTCCCTGTGTCCTGTCCCTCCATCCCTTGTCCCCAGTCCCTCTCCAGCTCTCCTGGAGCCCCTTTAGGCCCTGCAAGGGGCTCTCAGCTCTCCCTGGAGCCTTCTCTTCTCCAGGGGAACCCCCCCAGCTCTCTTAACTTACTGGTTGCACTGAAGTGAGATTTCAGCTGCACTGAGGGTTTCTCCCTTCTTAAAAACCAGACCTGCAACCAGCACTGGCAACAGGACAGTTGATGCAACATTTGCATTTCCAAGCTCTCCTGAAACTGCCTCCTTAACCAACCCAAGCACTGCCAAAACATCCCAGCCCTGTCCTTTCTCAGGCACTTTACAGCCACTTTTCACCAGGAACCAAATGGTGGTTATTTACATTTTTCCATGTAATTTTTTCACAGAATCCCAGGATCCCTGAGGCTGGAAAAGCCCTCCCAGCCCATGGATCCACCCCGTGCCCCATCCCCACCTTGTCCCCCAGCCCAGAGCACTGAGTGCCACGGCCAGGCCTTCCTGGGACACCTCCAGGGATGGGCACTCCAAACCTCCCTGGGCAGCCCCTGCCAAGGCCTCACCACCCTTTCCACCAACAAATTCCTCCTCAGCCCCAACCTGACCCTCCCCTGGCCCAGCTTGAGGCCGTTTCCCCTTGGCCTGTCCCTTGTTCCCTGGCAGCAGAGAGTTGACACCGCGTGGAAAAGCTTCTCCATCCAACTGCTTTCTATTCCAATTTAGCTCCAAACTCAGAATATTGCCCTTATTTTTTGGACTGATTCACCCAAAGCTGAAAGGAGATCTGAGAAAGTGAGGACGCTTGTTTTCCTTCCCCAGTCTCTGAATAAAACCCTGGTGGGAAAGGAATGAGATCTCATTATTCTAAGAACTTTGGGGATTTGGGGCCAGGTTTTCAAATGAATTAAGGTGACCAGCCATGAAGAGAGAGAGAGCAAATGTCAGCCTCCCACCAAAGCAGGAGGAGCTGAGCAGATGCCTAAACCTCTTAAGCAATTTTGAAGTCTCACTAGATCCTTGCTGATTTCCTGGCACTTAAATACCTTTGAGAATTTGGGATGAGAACCACTCGCACAACCCAAATCTCCCTTTGTTTAAAGGATCAGGCAGCTTCAAACACCAAAGATATGTAGTGATAAATTTACTTTTTGCCCTCT